AGCGGTGACAGGAAGACGGATCAGTGTCGAGCCCGATGGAGGGAGGACGCTATGAAGAAGTCAAGAGAGAGAGACAGAGAGACGTGGAAGCTGTGAAGGACAAGTGAGAGTTTTATCGCCCTCTTTGCTTGCTCTTCTGCAGCTGTGGCCGCCTCTTGATGACGACTGAAAGACGCTCCAGCTGCAGGTTCAATTGCATTTGATTGGTGGTTTTTACCAACTGATGGATACATAAAGAGGCACACACAACCCCCCCACCCCCCCACACCCAAAATGTCTGTGAGAACAGAAGCTGCTGGCCGTTTGGATGACGGCCGTAGTCAGAAAAACAAGCAGCCATGTGAGAGAATATATAAATGTGACCTTGCAGACACAAGCGTCAACATTTCTGAACATGTCACAATGTGTTCAAGTGTGAGTGTGAGACAGACAGACAGACAGACAGACAGATTGTATGGCATGCATCAAACAGGTGTGTGTGCGTGTGTGTTTGTGTGTGTGACAGGTGTTTAGCTGGAATGGTGCTAAGCTTTAAGTGCTGTTTCAAACCAAGCCCTATTCCTGGGGTACACACACACACACACACACACACAAGCATGCACACACTCACACACGCCATAACAGTAATCATCAATAGGAGGATACATTAATTGTCCCTGTCGAGAAGTCGAGTAATTATTGATAGAGTGGTATAAGTTTTTCAGAAACGATTACACAAGCGAAATAACACACACACACACACACACACGCACACAAACAAACACACACCACGTTTTGTTTCCCAGAGGGTCATTTCAACTAAGACACGGAGTGCTGCAGGGATGACGTGTGTTTGTAGAGAAGCATCGCTCTGGTTCCCTCGCCGTACTGAGTGAGATACTCGGTGTGCAAACCCTGGATGCAGATGTCTGTACACGCAGTCGGGTTGTGGCGGTCGGGGTACCGCTGAGGGCTACAGGACGGCGACCCCCGGCCCATAAATCACCCGCAGTATGCGCGGAGCTCGATTACCGCTCCAGAGCTGGAACCAAAAGAGCCCGGTGCTGAAAGACGAGCCAAGTAAATAATACAACACCGAGTCCATCACTGCCGCTCTCGACTCTCTGCGGGAGCCCGTGATGGGCAGAAAACAATGGCCATGGCCCATTTAGACGCCATTTTCGTTCCTAAATGCAGGCAAAGAAAACCTTTTTTCATGCGTGTTTCTTGATATTTTTTTTACCACATGTAGAATTTAATCGAAAAGAGATATTTGTCATGAGTCGTATGAATAAAAGCAGTTTTAATCTTCTTTAATAGTCTGGAAAATGAATGCAATTGACAGTGTCAGGAGTCATGGCTACAAAGGACCGCAAAAATAGTTGAACAGACGGTCTCATTTCTCCAGAGCCAGTTGACAACACTTCCTATTAATAGTGAGGATTGTCCTTGGGTGCTTTTATAAAAGGAGATGGGGTGCGAGTGTGTAAGTGTGTGCATGAGGAGAGTAAGGCAGCAGGGGATGAGGTTTTCTCAGAGAAGACAAACAGAGAGAAGCTCATATTACAGCAGACTTACTCGGCTAATGCGTCACACTTCACCCGCCGGCTTGTAGCACCTTCACCAAGTCGTCTCCTCCATCCTTCTCCCTACACTCAATGTGACTTATTCCATGTATTTCTGTTTTTGTCCGTCATTTTCTCCACAGTGATTTCTACACACACACACACACACACACACTCCTGGTCTATTTTTAGCGTGCTGTGGGGTTTTGAAGGTAGCGTTGTGTCGACCCCTCTTCTCACCCGGCTCCAGGCCTTACAAGGGCCCCCCTGGCGGACACCGTTGCCTCGCAACCAGCAGTGTTTGCACCTAAGCTGTGAAGGTCCAGCGCACGACCTGCACCTGCCCTTCATCATCTTAATTATCCACGTCAGAGAGTTAGTTGAGTAGATCATTACCACTTAATAGCAAGCTGTATGTACTGCTAGCAGGCTGTTAGCTTAGCTTAGCACAAAGACTGAAACCAGGACCTCTGCTTACTATTTAACACGTTAAGTCTTGTTTTATTAATATGTATAAAAACGGCTAGCTGTATCCCCCCCGTTCACAGTCTTCGTGCTAAGCTAAGCTAGCTGGCTGCTGGTTGTACATTCTTCGCCTTTATTTCCACTAAGAGTTCTTTAGAGGACCGGTGTGTAGGATTTGATGGCATCTAGTGGTGTCGTTGAGATGTCAACCAACTGAATAGCCCTCCGCTCTCTCCTCCCTTTCAAAGAAAGCGCCGTTTCCTCCCAATACTGATACTTGAACTTGTGTATTCACCAATAACGAGTACTGATCCGATAAAACAACAAAGTTAAACGGGTCATAATCCCCTTTCTAATATCTTTTTTTCTATTGCTGTGAAAACATCTTTAAACAACTTCATTGATTCTCGACAAAAATGAAATTTACAAGAGTAACGTGTGTTTTACAATAACGATGCAGCAGTATGTAGATATGAAGGATCTCATGCTACGCTAACGAGAACACACACACCAACTCTTAGTTAAAGGTGATGATACACAAATGAGATGAGTTATGAATATTAATACATCCCCCAAAATGCTACACACTGGCCTTTTAATCCAATGATTAGATGTCATCATCGTTGTGTCTACAGTCAGCTTTGAAGTTATTATTAACCTCACACCTTTGAACATCGTCCTTCCCATTATGATCATAATCACAAGCATCTTTTCCAGGATTCCTCTTAATAGCCAATTATAACAACCATCATCATTATCTCTCCCCGCCGAGTCACCATTTTGTCCCGTTTAGCCCTCGTATCGGTCAATGTCGTAAGTTCCAATTATGCTAATTGTCCCGGTGAGAGTGCGACAGTGAGCTGTGATTGTGACGGCGGGGCCAGGAGGAGAGTGGAGGAGCAGAAAAGTCGAGGCCATTAGGAGGAGACAGCTGCTGGAGACAGAGTGCCACGTTGGAGGACAGATACTCAACTGCAAGCATGAAGTCCTGTGAAAAACACGCCTCAAGACAGCCTGAGGGCATGAAATGTGACGGTAACACACAGTGTGTCTGAGAATTAAGGGTCTGAACACGTGGGGATGGTTCTCAAACTTCTTCAGCTGAAGGAGCTGTGCAAGGAGACTAATATGAATATAAGATGTTAGATTTATGGGGTCAGATGAAATCAATTAAAGTGAGGCCTCTTGGTCCACGTGATTTGTGGTTCCATGGAAAGGAAGCATTCTGCATTAAATGCAAAGGATTTTGTTGTTGTTCCTTCACATAATACTGTTTGAACGAGCACATCCTGGTTTGGTTTAAAGTGAAAGTCAACAGTGAGTTAAAAGACGGCAGAAAACTGCTGCTGTGTTGTTCTCTATGGGATGAAACTTGTCACACCTCTGATCACGGATCAGTTTATTTTCACTTTGACGAAGGAGTCAAAAGGTCAATGTAGACACGTTAAACCTGCAATAATTAAAATCTTTGGCCACTTGGAGGCAGCGGAAATACGACATTCATCAATTCTCTGTTTCATCATTACAAGAAGTCATGTGATCCACTGCTGACATATTTATACGCTTTAATGCATCTGCACAAACATGCAGCCCTCTCACAGTCTTTGTCATATGAAGGTTGTCCATATCAGTTAAGTGTTTGGATTAAAGAAAGACTAAATGCTGTATTACTGCTCCGTTAATGTGCAGACAAATCTCCTGATGCAATGCTTTAACTGAAAGATATTGTACTACATCTATTTAATGCTGTGTGTGGTCATTATTAATTGATAAAACAAGTTATGATATATCAATGATGTGGTGGAACAACATCATATTGTCTCATTCAGATTCAGATTATTATCTTTTCTTAACTTTGGATTTATTGAGTAAAAGTCGTATCGTCTTTACAGCATCAACCCATTAGCCGTATGTCGCACACATGTTTCTATAGCACACCAGAGACTTTCCACACATAACTGAATAACAACCTCGTGTTGTGATGACGGATTTATTACAGTATAGAAATCACTTACTTCTTACACAAGCTACAAAAAAAGCCCTCTTCATATAATGAAATCACTCAGTTAGAAAACCATTACCGTTCTCATGACTAATGGTGTAAACAAATGCATCAAACCGAGTGAAGCGCGGACGTTCTTCTAGAAATACATCATCTCAATGTTACACAACTGTTGTTTTTAAGACATTGATAGAAATGTGTAAAAATCGAATTTCTCACAAGAGCAATAAAAATATTCCAGACGCTCAAAGTGTGACGTCATGGCAACGAGAGGACGGTATCAGTTACTCATTATAAACTGTGGTTCACATTTAATAAAAGAGCATATCATGTGTTCAGACAAGAGTGTGGATAAATGGACATTTCATTTCAGTGTGGAATTTATCTCAACATTTTAAAATACGCATTACACATGCTATATACTGTGTGTGTGTGTGTGTATATATATATATATATATATATGCGTGTATAAATACATACATATATATATATATATATATATATATATATGTGTGTATAAATACATACAATATAAGAGAATCACCTTTAAAACACAGTTCTTTCCAGTTTAAAGCCATCAGCTCATGTTAGGAATTATTTTAGAAATGATGTTTACTTTTGTTTAACGTCACAATAAAGGACTTTATGGTGTAAACTGGATTCTACTCAAATACAAACATTACTGTTCACTCCGATGTTTGAACCCTAAAAACTAACACAAAGTTAAACTAGATTTACGATGAACTGATTGTCGGGCTGGTTCCTGCTGTTGAAGACACTATGATGTTTTAAATGTTAGTAGAAAAATAAAAAAACATAAGCAGACGGAGGAGGAGGACGAGGAGGAGGGTCATTAAACTAAACATAACAATCAACTCCTCCTTTCCACAGGCACCAGACTCTGGCCAGCAGGGACTGTCAGGGTCCACACACACACACACACACACACACACACACACACACACACACACAC